CACTATAACTCATAGTTTTCTATTGGTTTATAATCTGTTTCCACTCTGACAAGAATTACAAATATAGTCTGAAGGACTCTTCAAAGCGCTTCTCAGTATAACTTTAAACAGTGTGGTAGATTAGTTGCAAAGATGTCTGGAACCTTATCTCCCAGCTTGCAGGTCTTTTGCAATGAGATGTTGCTACTCCTCTCATCAGAAGGTAGAATCTCTTTCTTCTACCCTGGAATCTGGCAGGCCTCATGATTTGTTTTAAGCAACAGAAAGTGGTAGAAGTGATGATGTGTGGCTGCTGAAGCTGTGCAGTGAGGAAGCCCACGCTAACCTTGTGGAAATGCTGTAGACACGAAGGGTGGGTCCCCTGTCTGAGAAGCCCAGGTAAGCCCATTTCCCAGATGTCTTACTGGGAAGCAGCTACCGGCGACTCCGGGTTAGACCAGCAGGAGAGCGATCTCATCAACCACAGGATCCAAAGAAATAATAAATCATTGTTTAAAGCCACCAAATATTGGAATGGTTTGCCGCACAACAACAGATAATTGAAAAATGTAACCTAACATAATATCTCATAGGGAAGTTAGGAAAAAAAGCATCTATAAAGCTAAGAACTTTATTGACTTTTTTGGTTATCCTCTCTAGATTAAGGACTTACACACGGTACAGGCTTTTCCTGTGTAACCAAGAGGACAGTCAGTTTCCAGTTTCTTTGCTGCACTGACCTCCATTCTCACAGGGTCCACAGGAAAACTGGCAGCCTGGTCCCTTGAGGCCATCAGGTCAGGCTGGTAAAACAAGAATGAGAAAGAAAAGAGCTAAGACTTGTAATAAATCAAGACAGTCCCAGATTTTTGCTGTAGCCTAAGTGCATTGGAAAAGTGTTGTGTGTGTGTGCATGTGTGCTTATGAGTTTGTGAGTGAGTGCATGAGTGTACCGCTGGGCGTCAAACAAACATCTGAGTAGCCTCCAAGGATTTATAGCACTTCCAAAACATTCCCTGAAGAAATCAACATGATGGTCTATCTTGTCACTTTGGAAACACAGATATAGAGGTTGGCAATTTTTTTCTTTTTTGCTGAAAAAGTGGTTTTTCAGACAGTAACAATGGAAGCAATTTTGATATATGCCTTTGGAGGCAGTTGCACAGAACAAAACCTGAAAATGAGATGTAATTTGTACAGGAAGCTTAGAAGGCACGGTGCTGGGGAAGCTGTCCCCAAATGGCTGCCTGAATCCTGTTCTCCTAGTCTTTACTTCTATTGTAAACTGGAATAATCACCCCAGAGGCTTGTAATTTGTGTATTTATAAGAGCATACAATGATATAAAGTGGAGAAAGTGCTGCTTTGTTGAACGTCCTTTGAGTTGGAAGAGAGGCTGATGCTGCGTGATCACTGGGGGCTCAGTAAGGGTTTCAGCCCACGTCCGACCATTGAAACCACCGGAATTAGACACCTGGTGGAGAGCATCCTTTTCCAACAGGCAGAACAGTGAAGCTTTTCTAAACTTACCGCAACTGTGGAAAGTTACATCAGACTACGTTGGCCTGTGAAAGTATGTGCTTTCCTGGGCAGAGTTCCCCTGAATTACAGAATCATTCAATTTTCTGGGGTGTTTATGCCATTTCTGGCTATTATTGGTTGACCACTTACTCTGTGCCACACACTTTACATAAATGAGCTCGCATTTTCATAAAAATTGCTAGTGATATAAGCAACTTTACCTTCATTTTAAATAAGAAACTGAGGTTTGGAGAGGTTGAATTACTTTCTCTGGGTCATACAGCTTGTAAGGAGGAAAGTCAGAACTGAACCCAGATCCTCTGGCTTCTGAAATTAGTGCGTTTGGGCACTACACCAAACTTATGCTGCAATACTAGCTACTCAACATCTTTCAAGTCAATAAACCTGCTCTTAGAGACCCACCAGATTTTAAATTAAAGTTCACTTAATGTGGAACTATTGTAACAAAAATCTGTCCTTATAATGACACACGGGTGGAATGAGTCTCCTCAGAAGGACTCAAGGGGCTTGCTCGGTCAGAGCCCGCTCCATCAGGGGTCTGTGTGCAGCTGGGCTCCAAAACACCCCAGGCTACAAACTAATCAAAACAAAAACACCGGCTGGTTCTTCCCCAGCCCCCCTCTCTTTTTTGCTATATCACAGATTCACGTAGAAACCAGCTCTTCTGCTCTTAAAAGTCACTGCTGATGGGCTAAATAAGCCATGGTACTGATTGTGGAGAGCACAGTTCATTAGTGCCATTGAAACAATTTGCGATCTTTAATGAACTATTCATCTGCAATCTAGACACAGGTCTGGAGTCAAGATTTTTAAAGATTCGTCTAGCTCTAGGAGCACTTGGACCACTTCACTCCTTTGAAAAAGAGAAAGAAAAACAGGCTGATTTTCATCATGCACATGTCTTGGAGAGCTCCTTCTGCCTTGATTTCTGCTGCCAATCAGGGCGAGCCCGTTCACCCACTCCGCTCTGATTCATAATTTCATTTTGTGGTTGGACAAAAATATCAGAATTGGACAAAGTTATCTGATTGAAAAATAATATGTTTTCCAGAGATTATGGTGACCTCTCTATTTTGCTGATTTACATATACTTTCAGCTCATTTTCCTTCACAGTGGGAATCTCAGAAGCATTTTCCAATGAGGTCTATTCAGCTACTTTAAGAAAATGTTATCAGAATAAATTAAATTGACCCAGGTGTGTGTGTATGGTATTGTCTCTTCATGCACTGCCTGCTGGGCCATGGCTTCTCTCGTGGGGAAATGAACAAGGGGCTGATTCGAGCCTTAAAACCCAGTTGAAGCAGGAAGAAGCTTAGATATTGGCATGGGACCCACTTCTATACCACATAAAACATACTTGTGTAATGTGTCTTCATGTACTTCTGTTTCTCCATGTACATTTCCCCATTGCTTAGAAAGTCACAACCCAGCTTCCTAAATAGCCTTCACTCCACAAAATCTAGATGGATGCCACTTCCTACATGCTCCATTCAACAGCCACGGGATGACCTAGGGGGCCTAGAACACTTCCCCACTTCCAGTCAGCTCTGACAGGCCCCGCGGCTCTCTGAGGATGATAATGCAAGGAGTAGCGTGCAATCCACAAATGCCAAGGACAACCCCAAACCCAGGGCCTGTGTCTGTGAGTTCACGCAATGGTATGGCAGCTTGCTTTCAAACTCATCAAATCTCCTCCTGAATTTAAACAAGAATTTTAAACAATTGCCCTTTGGATCGAGTCAAAGGCAAAAAGTTCACTTACTGTTGGTTATGATCATTTTACTTGTTATATGTTCAGTGTTGTTATATACAAGGAGGGACCCCCCCCCCACAAAAAACTGGAATGATCTTCTAGAGAGTGGACCCCTTGTAGTGCAGGCTTCCCCTGGTAGGTGAGTATTCTAGGAACCCACCTATATCAGTATACCACTTGACATTGTTGTGAGAGGCTGCATTTGGCTTCAGTGAATTTTTTTGAAGACTCGTTCAACATGTTTGCCCATTTCATGATAGGTGACTTATGAGTGCACAGGCCCACACTGTGCTGAGTGTTCAGTAGTTTTTCACCACAAATGGCATGACTCCTATGCCTCACCTTCCCTATTCACCCAGTCCTGCCTCAAGTGACTTTGTGTGTGTGTCCCTAGATAATGAAGGAAGACATTTTTGCCAATGTGGAAGAGCTGAAATGAAAAAAGGTAGAAGCACTAACAGGCATCAAAATCAATGAGTTCAAAAACTGTTTTGAGCAGTGGGAAAAAAAGTCTCAGTAGGTATATTGCATCAAATGGAGAGTACTTCGAAGGTGACTGAAGTTTCAACGTGTAAGAATAAATACACAATTTTTTAGAAATAAATTCTGGGATTTTGGGTCCCGCCTTGTATCATAAAGAAAAAATGTTATGATACTTTCCCTTCAATAAAATAATAACAAGCTCTTAATGCAGAAGTCATGATAATGTGAGAGATATCTATAAAGAATAAAGTCAAAGATTCATATTTATGCATTCATTTAAGAGCACACTTACTGAGCAAGTCCTATGTGTCAGGACTGTCCTAGGAGTTTGGGGGATATTTTGGTCAACAAAAGAAACAGCTATCCTCCTGCGGGACTCAGCTTCTAGCAGGAAGGAATGGCAATAAATACTAATACTACTTACTACTAATAATAATTACAGGATACGGTATATTAAAAGATAATAAGCACTTTGGGAAAATTAAAAGAAAATTCAAAAGACATGCAAATTGCAGTTTTAAGTAGCGCAGTACTGATAAGGTTCAGTGAAAAAGTGGCCTAAGACTTTCTGAGTAAGTGAAGGAGCCCTGGAAATACCCGGGGGGGGGGGGCGAAGGTGGGTAGGGGTGGAGATTTCCACGAGGCCCCAAGCAGAGAGCGCCATGACTAAAACCTTGAATGCCTTTGTCCACATTTCACATGCGCTTGCCCTCTTACCTCTATATATGTTACTTATAACTGGAATTATGATGTACGTAAAGTTTTGTATTTGTACATTTTAAAGATTATTTATATAATATTTAGAAAATTGAGAAAGAACCACACTGAAAACTATATTTACATTTTCCCATATTTTTTATGGTTAGACTCTTTGGATCATATTTGTTTGAATGATCTATCTTTAGATATAAAGAAAATTATTTTTTTAACTCTGAAAGGTAGCAGCGTCTTTGGTGGATTCGTTCACCTCAAAAAAGTGAGCCAGCTGTAATCTTCTTAGGGTAAGGTTCTCTGCCATGTGGTCTTTCTTCCCTCCTCGCTCAGGCTAGTATGGGGACAGCCCGCAGCAGGAGCTGAGATGACAAGGTTAAATAACTTTATTGTCCTGTGTCTCAGTTTCCTCACCTGCGGATTAATAAAGTTTACCCATCTCCTGAGGACAGTGGTAGATTAAATAATTAATGATCAGATGGTGCAGAACAAAGGCTGAGCATTGTTATTAGAGAAGACAGAAAATTTATCATCAGATTGTACCTTTCTGGCATCTGTTGCCTTGGTAACCAGATTTGCAGGTGCAACTGCCATTTTTGGCACTGCATTCCAGGGTGTTGTCCTCCACACACTGGCATTCTGAGGAGCAGCCAGCTCCGTAGGTCCCCTTGGGACAGTCTGCAAGCAGATCGAAGTGAACCATCACCTGAAAACCATGCTTTGGCTTTTCTTTCTTTTTTTTTTTTTCTACATTGTTAGTGCACAAGCATGTGGTTCTGTGGGGCCTGATTACAGGGAAACAAGAGGATCATCTTAACTGCCAAAACAACACCTCCAACAAAACGGGGAAACAAATGTCTTTCAAGTCAGGTAATTCATTTGCTTTTTGGCAAGTGGATGTGAACAGTGAAGCCTGAACTACTTAAAAGGCTTTTAGGCTTCTGGGAGAGAAATTGCCTCTCAATGTGCTCCAGCCGTGCTTATAGTTAGTGTTCTCCAAGGACTGCACAGGCCTGCCAGCCCCATATTCACCCTGCCACGGCATGGAGATGATGGACAAGCGTTGATGGGTAGGCGCACCATTGTTTTCCTTCCCTTTCATTATATGGTAATCAGAAATAATTTTACATTGTGCAGATAACACAAAGCTTTAATCGTGACAGCAGCATTATCGTGGCCACATCTTTGGCAAATGGTGCTTGCCTTTCCTTCACTGTTTTCCCCACACCATTGCGTTTTATGGATGATGGTGAACACGGAAATTATAATCCGAAACAGTCCTACCTTTGCCTTCAGGAAAACCTACCTTTAGATCTCTCTTTGAGGAGTTACTTACAGTAAGTAATTCAATTCCCTTTGCAAAATATACTTCTGACAGTTTTTTCTCCCCCGTGCAGATACCCCAGGGACTATCAAAAACAAGTCCTTCAAGTGCCTTTTCTTGTATGCCTATATAGGCTTTGCTAACACACCTACTTTTAAAAAAAAAATAAGCCGTTTGGCTTTCTGGTGAATGGGAATAAACATTTTCTAATATCTGCTATGATGAGCAGAGATAATTTAAAGTGGTGGTTACTATGCTGCTTTGTAGGGTGATTCTTGTTCCTGCTAGGGATAGACAGAGTTACCCCTAACACAGAACAGAATTATTAACAGGGCTCCTTTTCACTATTCCTATTATCTTATTTGGATGATAAATTATACTAATCCTTTTTTATCTTTCCTGTGGTTTCCAAGTTTTGAGTCCTTGCCCAGACCCACCTTCCCCAAGGGCTCTCAGAGATACTGTCTTCCTTGATGTAGGCCTCTCCTGGCTCATTCCAGAACCCTCACTTCCCTGGGCTGACTTCCATGCCCTTGCTCTTTCTGGTCCAGCAGTTAGTACAGTGGTTCAGGGGGCAGCTCAGGCACAATGGAAAGCTTAAATGCTACAGTTGAGTATTTTAAGAACATTTAACTGGAAATATGCTTAAAGGAAAAAGAAAGAGTGGGAGAAGTAACATTTATTTTTTGTCAATCCAGTGTCTACTCAGCATTTGTTATGCACTGAGATGTGTCCCCCCCAAATTAATATTTTGAAGTCTTTACCCTAGTACCTCAGAATGTGACCTTGTTTATGAATTATGTCATTGCTGATGTACTTAGTTAACTCGAGGTCACACTAAAGTAGTAGGATGGGGCCTCTAATCTGATATGGCTGGTGTCCTTATAAATAGAGGACATTTGGACACAGAGACATCCGTATGGGGACAATGCTGTGTGAAGACTGGAGCTATGCTGTCACAAGCCAAGGAAGAGGAGGTGTGGCCTGCTAACACCCTGATCCCAGACATCTAGCCTCCAGAACTGTGAGGCAATAATAGATGTCTGTTTTTTAAGGCGATCCATTTGTGGCACTTCATTATGAGAGCTCTAGAAAACTAGTATACGGTTGCAAACTCAAGCTTCTCAGGACCAGGCAAATGGCATGATTAAATGAAGCCTCCAACCTAAGCCAAAAGAGTCTTGAAGAACTGAAATGTGTATATTTTTTCTAAAGATGGTCACATTCAAAACGCTAACTACTATTAGCACCACCACCTGCTCTTTGAATGTTTGACCAGATGAGTTATGATTTTAATGTTTTTATGCCAAAACATCTGGCATTGCCTTAAAAATATTTAAAAGTTATTACTAAAAAATAAAGTGTACTGTGTTACCTGACAGCAATGATTTTCAACCAGTGTGCTGCAAGAATTTTTAAACATGCAGTATCTGACCATTTAGTTAGGGACACTGACCTCTTTTCTTTTAGATTGTCAAATAAAAAATTGACAGTAGCCAACACAACAATAACCATTAGGTATGAACGCCCTGTCTTGAACCATAAATATATAGGTCAGATAGTAGAATTATGCCTTTTTGTCACATCACATAATATGGTTGTATCTGATCGGTTAATGCTTGGCATTAGGAATTCTCATATACAAGTATAGGCACCTGATATTTTTTAAAAATTACTTCAGAGAGTAAAAAATATATAATTACTATTATTGTATTTTCTGTAAGTCAATTAAAATTATGCCTATTTTTTGTCACATTGGCAAAAAGTAATTCTTTACTTTTTTTTCTGTGGCACACTTTTTTGGTTGCCACAGAATTTTAGTAATTAGTTTATGTGTGCTAAGAGATTTTAAAAAAAGTTGAAAATCGCTGCCTTAGAAGAACAATAATAAAAATGATGCTCTCTTTGTTTCTAGGTGAGTTTTCTTCTCTTGGCATGTTCTAGGAGGTACGTGATGCTCTGGAACATGCCCAAGGTGCCTGAATTTCCACGTGGACACGTGCCTCGTCCTCTTCTCTGCTGCTTGCCCAGGCCAGACCTTTCCTCACGACCCAGGTTCGGCTTTCCACGTCGCCTTCCCTGGCTTCCTTTTGGGAGTATTCACAATTTGCTCTACGTTTTCTAGTAGTAACCTTTTATAATATAGGCAAAATCCATGGACATTCAACTAAAAATATGATATAAAACTATAAAAGGTCTCTTATTATGAAATGGGTCAGGGTATTCCTGAGGTCCACTCAGGAAGGGCTTTTAGAGGACAGTGTGCGGAGTACGTGGAGGAAGAGCGTGGAGACCGTTTCAGACACACAGGTGCCGGCGTGCAGGTTCAGGATGAGATGGGGAGCACTTTCCCAGAGATGTCCCACTAAGGGAAACCCTGAAAGTTACTTAGGAGGCTAAAGTACTTATTGGTGATTGTGTTTTCTCACATCTTTTGCAAAATGTGATTGATGGTCAAACAGCAAAATAAATAGCCTGCTGCAGAAAATTTTAGGAAATGAATATGTCTATGCACTGAAACCCAGAAATAATGGGGACTTTTTCTCGGCCTTTTGATATTCAACTCCCATAAAGTGTCAAGTCTCCTTCTAAATGAGCTCTTAATAATCCTCTCTCAATAATTAACATAATCACTAATGAGAAAAAAATGTAAAGAATTCAGGAATATTTTTCTTTCATTCATCAAAATCTAGCTTCTCTAAAGTAAGTAGGCTAAATAAAGACTGGAACATAAATTGTCTCATATATAACTATATAAAATATATATTTTTAGTCTCTTCCTTTGTCTAATATATTTCTGGCACTTCTGAGCCTCCTTGCTTCACAGCGAGAACAAATGTAGTGCCTGTGACTTACTCAGATGACAAAACCTCCCATAGCGCCCTGGATCACACACACAGGCACCATACACCTTGTGGCAATGGCCATTGTTGGCGCAGTTACATTTCCTTTTGCAGTTCTTCCCGAAGAGTCCTTTTGGGCATCCTAGAAGTAGAAGGGCAAACAAAGAAAATATGAACCTACATGCAAAACTTGCTAGAGCTGTTATTACATGAAATGAGGAGCTTGCAAAACGTGAGATGTTGTTTCCAATGTGATTAGACTGAGGCTAGGGAGATATTTTAAAACCCACAAATAATGATGTTATATCTTCTACCTAAAATTCTACAACCACTGGACATTGCTGTCAGGTTAAGACTCCAAACATAATAAGACTATGAGTCTCTGCACTGGCTGACTTCAAAGGCACTAAGATCTCCCTGAAGGACTTTTGCTGCACCAGCTGAACTTCTGGTTCCTCTAATGCGCTGCATGCTTACAGATGTCAGTCTGGCCATGCTCTTCCTTCATGTTCTTCCTGTCTCATGCCCCCTCGTGTTGTAGGCTTCTGCTTCAACACCCCTTCTCTAGAAGTTTCTGTGTCTCCCACTGTCTTTTCCTCATGTTCTGACCACAAAGCACACATTATTATACAATAAACAAATATTATTTAGGGGATAATTCATTGGGATGCCTGCAGGGGCCTTCCTGCACCTCTCAGGGAACAAATTAAACTTAGTTTCCATCTCCCCAGTTCCATGATCTGTGAGAATCTAGCAAACTCCTCATGATTTCTGGCAGTCCCTAAAGATTTAGGTCTTCCTTGACTCTCTGCCTGCAGGTATTGGGCCTGGAAAAGCAGTTTCTCCTCTGGCTTTATCAACCTGTGTAGAAAATGTGGCTTTTTTACTGGTTTCCATGAAAAACCCATACATAGCACTCATTGGAATTTTGTCAGTTTTCACCCATCATTTCTTCCTTCTTTCCCTCCCTCTCTCCTGTCCTTTTGTTCTCTGATTTTCATCTCCTTTCCTTCTGGATTTGTCCAAGAAGCCCCATTTTTCTTCATTTTATTATGCGAAGCAAAAAATTCTCTCCAGCTCTTGTATCCAAACCTGTAAACACAAACTCAACTTTTTGCTCAATGGCAGAAAAAGGTTTTACTTTTGTTTGTTTGTTTTGGTTTTTCGTACCATCCTACTTAGATCACAGCTGGAGATAAAAGTATCACATTCTGTTCCATGAGTTATCAATCAAAGCAATTATGTTCTTATATATGTATAAACACAGCCTTTTATAACTTCAGAAAAAGACTACCTTGAAAAATACAGACACAAATTTTACTTAGTTGATTGCACATTAGGAACCTCAAGACTGTAACGAGTTGTCTCATGCCACCAGCGCCAGACGTTCCTACCGTGTTCACAGGTTTTCCCATGCACCCCGGGGGGGCACTGGCACCTCCCAGACAGCGGATCACAAGTGCCTCCATTCTGACAATCACAGATGTTTCCACACTCCTTCCCACCAGTCTCCGGGGAACAACCTATGAAGAAAATGAAGAAGTTGAACAAGCAGTATATAACGTGCTCATTGTGATACAAATGAAAAAAAAATCTTGTCTTCCTATTAGAATGAATACCAAGTAATTAAAATCTCTGTCATTTGCAGTCCTGGGAAGGGTCTCCAGCATGCTGCTAGCTTAGATGGCATAATCATTCCTGGGGATTACTGACGCAGCTACTAAAATGATGACTGAGGTACTGCTAAGAAGGTTTACACACAAAATTTTACCCTGTTTCTTAGATTCTAATCTTCACATTTTCAAAGCTTAGGTATCTTTGCTGTAGAACTCTAATCAAACTTAATGAGAAACAAATTGCACCTTCTATTTTGAAGAATGGGTAAAGAATGGCACGTATTTTCAACTAGGAATAAATGAGACTTTGTGAGAGTCCCATGGTATTTGGCATTATTAAAGAATGATGGAGTCAAGCAAACAACTGTTTTGTTGGTTTGGGGAAGTGTTTAGTATTCCAATAAAAATAATAAATTGGAGAAAATATCTGTAGCTTTATTTTAATACAAGTATTTGGAAAATGTCAGTAACTGTTTTGTCATTTTATCATAATAGGCTAAATATTATAAAACTACATTTATACCACCCATTCTACCCACACCATTCCAGATGCTAATATGGAAACTTGGTTTCTTATTCACTTTTTTCTTTGCTTTCCAGCTTTAGGCTACTGTGAACAGGAAAGAAAAAGGAATGAGGAAAACAAAAAAGTACAAGAGAGAAAAACTGTCAATGAACACTGGTTTTCATTTTTAATTTACATGTGGTAAGTCTTTGTTCTTACAAGAACAATAGAAGGGATGAGTTTTTTAAAACTGCACCTGAAAAATAATGTTAAGGAAGTTTAACTAGCTTTTACAGTATCTGGATTACAGCAAGTCATCAAATCAACATCAGCAAAACAACACTACTATCTGTTACTCCCCCACAAAGTAGAATATGATGTCATATAGTGCACAGATTTGCTAACTACTTCCTTAATGTCAAACAGAGCAATTTCCCTGGAGAAACAAATTTTAAAGCAAACATGCCCCAAATCATAACTGGATGATTTGGATGGAGTCATGAATCCTCTCCTCTGTATATAACCTGTTCATTTATGATGTGAAAATACTCCAGTCTTTCCTTTCTATTGGATAGAGTCTCACAATAACAAATGAAGTAGTCAATATAAAATGTCTTGAAAATGGAGTTCTGAAATGTGCTATTAAAAGTAATATGTGATTATTTTTAAATTGTTTCATTATAATTACTTGGTAATTCTTAAAACATCAAAGCAGATATATCATTATAGAATAATAAAGATATTAGGCTAAAATATCTATCCAATGAGAAAACTAACTTTCCAGATCTCTGCAGAATGTTCTGTTTCTAAATTTCCCTTGCTGCATTTGAAGAGCTAGGACTCTTAAAAATATGGGTAATGAATGATCGGTCATTTCCATTTATTGCAGTTTACAAGGATATTTTTAAAATGTTCTCGGTCCTCCTTTTTGTTAAAGAATCAGTGAACACTTTTGTTTTTCATTTGGATTCATCTGTTTCCATTTTTGTAAAATAAAGAAGGACAGAGAGGAAATGCAAAAAGAAAGATACAATCTTCTGCTTTCAAGGACAGACTGTCCTGTATAGACCCTGGGAAAACTTTAAAAATCCTCAAGTTTTCTAAAGCCAAAGCAGGGGTCATCTTATCTTCATTTTATAAGCAAATTCATTTTCAGTATTTCTATATTTATCTTGTATCAGATATGTTATACTCTGATGTATTTGAGATAGATTTTTAGTTTCATTTCTCATGATGTCATGTTAAAAATCAAGGGTTTGGAAGATACATATTTCTCAACAAACTTACAATATAAGGTAAATGCTTACTTCCTTTTAATCATGCAATAACATTTATTTGATCCCAATTTTATGTAGTTGCAGGTCAATGTCAAGTTGCAGGTCATATAGCTGAGTGCTTCAATACTAAGTTTTATTCATCTGTTCATTCATGCAGTCGGTACCTCCTGTTTGTAGAAACACGAGCAGGACCCCGTCAGGGAGCTCTCGGTCTAGTCAGAGGAATGGCACAGGAGAAGAGCTGACACTAGGCCAGTGGAGAAAGAGAGAAAGAGAGTGAGGGAGAAAGACTTCAAACCCAGTGAAATCTAAATAGTTGTGGTTAGTCTGGGGCCATCAGAAAAGTTTCATACAATAAGTAGCAATAGACAAAGATGGCTGCTTAGCACAGGGCACAAAAATGAGAAGTGCAAAACAATAAGCGGTGAGTGGTTTAGATTGTTGGAAATGATAAGCTGGGCAAAGAGCTGTGATTAAGATAAAAAGCACAAAGGGTTCGGAAGGGCCTGGTGTTAGGTGGCTGCCAGTGACAGGCCAGACGTGTACGGTTTATACATCAGGAAATAGGACACTCTTAAAGGTTTTTTGAGCAGAAGAGACACATGAGCACAGAGAAGCTTGAGGAAGGTCCCCAATGCCCTAACCAGTAATCTTGGTTAAACCAGTTCACCATGTTGTGACTCAAGGCCTCTGTTTCCTAACAGAAACGGCACTTGTGCCCTTTCTTCCTACATGCAGGGGATGCAAAAGAGCAATCTGCCCACGCCACCTTCCAAGCTAATAACAAAGACTAAGAAAACCCTTCGCTTAAAAATTTTTAAGGTAAATTGAAAAAGAGAGAGAGGAAACAAAGATAGTCAATATTATTTTGTTTCTATTACTTGGCAGGTAGTACTTACAAGTATACCTTTATTTAAAATACAAAGAAAACATTTATGAGAGGTATTAATTTTTAAATCTTTTATATTTTTATGAGGGGTATATGAAAACTTAAAAGTATCATTGGCTATACTAACATATTCTGAAAAGAAAAAAAAAACACACGGAAAGTAGCAGCAGTGAAGCAATCCTATTAATTGCACTTTGTAGCACAAATCCTTTCTTTTTTTCTTTATTGGGAATAGCTTGCCTGGGCCTAATGATTTATTTAAATGGAGGGATTTTTATAGGCCTAGAATATTAGGATCCTTTATTAACTTTTATGTTCCATGGATAAACAAGAAACAGTACATTGAGTTTCCCAGGGAACACAAAATCTCTCCTTTTAATCACATGTTCAGTTAAAAACCTCAGTGCTTCACAGGCATTCTTTATGCACAACAAATAAATTGATTTTTCACCCACGTCAATGGCTTTCCTTGTTAAAACATTGTAGGGAGAACACAGTCTAGGAGAACCCACCGGTAGTTTGCCAGGAGAACATAAGACCCTCTTACCAATTCTTCAGGGTATCACTTACTTTCATTACACAGAACGCCACTCCAGCCCGCTGGGCAGGAGCACCCAGGCTCCCCTTCCTGGCACCTGCCTCCATTCATGCAGTCCTCACAGCTCAAGCTGCAATCAGGCCCGAAGGTGTCACCTACACAGACTGGAACATGGAGATGAAACGCTTAATTTCACACACACACACACACACACACACACACACACACACACACGATCCTTCAGTGTTTTTCCTAAAAGAGTCCCAGAAAAAGACAGCAAGAAAGGTCTTTTAAAACAGAGTTTATTTTACATTTTTCTAATGATACTATTGACATAAAGTCCCTAAAGAATCTTCAGAATTTTTAGTAAAGTAAAAAACATGAAAAGAAATTACATTGATTTCAAATCGTTAAAATAATCAATGTTTCTGGCAGTTGATACGTTTCTTTCTAGGCTTTTTTATGCCAAGTTTTTTTTTCTTAGTAAAATTTTTTTTAATTGAGATTTAATATACACTGAGAGAAGTGCACAAGTCTCAAGTGCACACTTTATATTTTCTCCACAGTGTAAAAAACCCCATTAAATGCCATCCAGATCAAGAGCTAGCGTATTGCCAGCACCCCCAAAACTCCAAGGTGACTTAATGATTCTTAATCATTAGCTTTGCAAATTAAGTGCTATCCCAATTTCTATCACCATAGATCGCTTTCCTCCTTTTGAACTTTAAGTAAATAGAATTGTAAAGTATGTACTCTTGGTATCACTCTTCCTTCATTTAATATAGTATTTGTGAGATGCACCCCTATTGTATACACTAGTTTTTTTAAAGCTGTATAGTATTCTATTGTTTAAGTGTACCATAAGTGTTTTTCAATTTTCTTCTTGAGGGAAATTACCTTCATCTGAATAAGGATGGAGAAACTTGGTTTCATTTGCCTTAAGACTTATTTCCTTTCAGGTTTTGCTCCTGTTTCTAATGGGGTCTCTCAGATGTCTCAGTTGAAAGTCTGCTATGTTGACCCAGCCTTCTCTCCTTTGGCCAAGGCTGGGCTGCAGCTTCTACTTTCCCATCCCCATGACCTGCTGATAACTGCACATAGCTCCTTGTCTTCTGAGCAGCTGTCTTTCAGATTTCCTGGTTTTCCACCTGCACAGCCCATCTATCACAAATGGCTCAAGGAGAAAAGCTGCCGAGATTGTCCATTTCAGCTGTCTGAGTCTCTCTCCTCCCCAGATCTTGGCCGCTCAAGTTGAGACTGCCATGGTAGCCCTAAGCCCTTTCCACGCAGACTTTGAGTCCCAAATGTATCAGGAGTTTCATTAAGAAACTTTAAAGTATTTCTCCTTTTATGCAGATGTCTTGATTGATATTATTATTATGATTCAGGATTGCATAAAAATATTTCTGCCATTTTACTGAATGCACTCCAAAGCGATTTTCAAGCTCTGACACCGTTAAACTACAAAAAACGGAGGGAGAACAAAGAGAGCAGCTCTGGTTGACAAAGGAAAGGGAAAGATGCAGCAGGCTGGCTGCAAACTGCTCCTTTTGAAAGGGGGCATGCTAATTCACTTTGATCAGCAGTGGCACGATGCTTTCGTTCTGTGGCGAGGGTATGAGGGAAACCGCTCACAATTTTAAGATATTTTCTTGGTCCACTTGAACATATTAAAACAATTTGCTCTAAGAATTTTAAAATATAAGAAGGATCTAGATTTTAAAGCTATTTAAAGTAAATTTTTAACTATATAAAAGTGGCTGCTAATAGAGTTTTCGTAGTCAGAACTAAAAGGTCCCAGTCTGTCTCCCCATTATGTTAATTTAATGATATTTTTCAGCTCTATTTCACTTTATCGTACTTCAATAGTCCCCACCACCCTACACCCCCACCTACCTCTACGAGTACCTACATAGTGCAAAGGGAAGAAAGATAAAAGATGATAGATTTGCTAGAAAGCTCTGAAGAATTGATTCTGGCCCCATTTTTCTTGCTAACATCACATTTAAAAATGTGATGGCATTAAATATGAATAATGAGAGTGTCTGTAAAAGAATTTACGTGAATTCTCTAACAATAAAGAAAAGAGGTGACTACAATGAGATAAACTCTTTTACTCACCAACTTTTGGCAAAGCAGCCAGTTCGCGAATATCGGTTCTCTCTTCCTCCTCATCTTCTTCATCTTGGTAGGGGGGAGGCAGTGAGGTACTAACGTAATGAAGCAGTTGAGGTGGGCTCTTGAACAGAAGGCCTGCAAACCTCACAACTTCTAATGCCTCTTCTTCTTCCTCTAACTCATCATCATCTAAAGCCATAAGACCACACAGGAGAATACCTGGATTCAACATGCTGTTTCAAAGAAGGAAAAACTGAGCAAGGGTGGATGAGAGAAATGAGAGTTTGAATTAGACAGCCAAGGCAGGGGGCTGCAGAAAGGGAGAACTCTTTGAGGTCATTTCAAAAAGTCCATTGTGAATGAAGGTGAGAAGCAGCCAGCACAAAGCTCCAACTGCAGCAGAGAGAACAAAAGGAAAAGATCTCAGTCTGTGAGACAGAAAGGGGAGGACAGGTGGAGTTAAGGAAAATGTGGTCTCTGTTGCTCCTGAACGAAACGAGGGTGGGAATAGTTTAGAAGAGACACAACAACGTTCTTCACAGTGACTCACAGATGCAAGTGTTTCCATCACTGCCAATTCTGTAGCCTTCTTCACAAGTACAGTGGTACGTCCCCAGGGAGTTAATACATGCTTGGTCACAGGCTATGCTGATACCCAGACACTCATCCACATCTAGGAACATTTAAACAATGCCTGTGTTTAGGTGCTGAGAGATAGCACAGACATTGTGAACTCATATGCATATTAGCGTTCCTCTTGTCATCCTTTATTAACCCATGACAATGTATTGCCATATAGAAAGCATAGCCCTGGATGCTCTCTCAGGTTTATCTTGTCAATTTTTTTTCTTTCACTCATTTCCAAGTTTACTGCAGTTCATCTACATAGACAAGGTCTTTCTGAGACCTTGTTCATTAGGTTTTGATGAAGAATTTAAAACTTAAAATAAATTCAGTGGTCTCAGGCTGTGCACCATTTTGCATAATGTTCACTCGTTCTTGAATTATTCAGTATCTGTGATGAAGCATTTATTCCAGGCATAATTCTGTACAAGGTTTGTGGGGAATGTTAGAGATGGAAGAACCCTGAGCTTTGATCTCGCGCTACCTAGACTTCGGTCAATGTGTTCACAGTAGCCAGCACAGGTGCCTAAGCTTCGCTCAGACTGCGACACCTTTCTCATTCGCGTGCCTGTACCCAAGTATGTGTATCCATACCATACAACCAACTTTTGGCTCACTCTGCTTAAGAGCAGATGGTTGATGAAATTCAAATTTTGGGGGCCCTCCTAATTGGGTGGAATATGGTAAATGATAACACACTCTACTGTGTTTAGAATATATAGATATCATAACTGTGTGTTATCTACACTGCAGGGCCGAGGAGCTTGGCATCTATATGAAGAAACACACCTATCATCCTTTAGGTAATTTAAGAATTTGTTTCTTTAAGCAAAGAAACACAATTTTTTTCCTGAGGCATAATATTCTTAAATACTTTGTTACTCAAAAGATAAAAAATCATCTTATGTTTGCTTTGATTTGTAGAAAAATGTGGTTCAAAACAGTGGTAATAATGATCATAAAATAAAAATTTAGAGATGACATATTTTAAAAATAAACTTTAAAAATAAATCATAGCAAAGACTTAAATGAGTTGTTCTTAATGTAATAATTAAAACAGTGAATTTACTCATTAAATGCAAGCTTTCCTATGAAAACAAATATGTAATCTAGAAATCCTCTGAAAGGTAAGTGGACCAATTTTAACAAATAAGTTAGAAAATTGTAAAATGACATCTTCAAACTTGCATTAGCTTAATTAATATCAGATATATAAAAATCCTGATACAGATTTGGGTTGTGGCAATGAACTAGCAATCCTTTTGTGACGGATCTCTAATTAAAATGACTTTCAGCCACCAACTTTCTAATTCCAGTAGAGCTTGTCACGAGCGATTTGTATGACTGCTGTACCCTGCAAGGATCTCTCACTTGCCCTTATATATTAAATTAGGTAAAAGAGATTATGGGCCAATAAGTATTACAATAATAATAGCTACCTTTAGTTGAGTGATTTCTCTTTGTCAATCACTGTACTAGGAAGTTCACATTTCTCACTTTCCTGAATTTACCCATTAATCCTTTCATTGTCTTCACTTTATTGGTGAGGACCTGAGGCTCAGACATGTGAGATGTGCCCAAGTTAGTATGATAGAAAGTGGTAGAACCACACAGAAGTCCAATTCTCTTGAGGGTCAAGGCCTTCCCTTTCCCACCCTAACTGCCTTTCTCACAGGTTCCTCCTTCACTGAGTGCCCCAGCACATCAGTGGTGTCATGTGGGGTCTCAGGGACATACCGTCACATCCACAACCGTCAGTGCTGAGCTGAAAGCCTTCCTGGCAGCTGCATCCATAGCCCCCTGGATAGTTGATGCAGAGCTGTGCACAGCAGGCTTCTCCAGTCTCACATTCATCAAGGTCTGAAGGCGAAAAGGACACTTCTGTTGTTTATAAGTCAGGAAATTTGCCTGGCCTATAGAAGTGCTGAAAAGCCTCACTTCTAAACTAAAATGGTGTTACTTACCATTTTCTATTTCTTAGGCTACATAGTATAGACATCAAAGCAACTGTAATGCAAAAAGAATGAGACCCAGCCCTGGCTGGCGTAGCTCAGAGGATTGAGCGCGGGCTGCAAACCAAAGTGTCGCAGGTTCGACCTGAGTTGCAGACCATGGCCCCCAGCAACCCCACATTGATGTTTCTCTCTCTCTCTCTCGCTCTCTCTTTCTCCCTTCCCTCTCTAAAAATAAATAAATAAAATCTTAAAAAAAAAGAATGAGGCCCATGTTTGAGTTTTTGTTTCTTGTATGTTTCTCTTAGGCCAGTTATTTTTTTTAAGTATGTAAATAATCTCCAAATGCATTTATAAATGCAGGAAAATAGATCTCTGCTATTTTTCCAGTTTAAACAGCAATTTGACTAAATAAACAGAGAACTTGAAGAATTAAAAGAAAACAGCTTGAAAAGAAGAGCCCATGAAACCCTCTTAGTGGCCATCTGATAGCTGCAAAGGGGAAGGCAGTCTTAGACTCTGTAAAGTGTTCATTCTAGACTTCAGATAAAAGAACATTTGCAAGCAAAAGGAATTCACACACACGGGAAAGGAAGTGGCAACCATAATTCAGAGAATAGACAATCTTTTTAAATATTATGTTTTAAATTACAGACTATTTCAGAACATGTGCTTGAACTTTGAGATGATGCTTTGACTGGGATGACTGGGGTCAAGGTTTTTTATTACCATAGGTGACACCATTACCCCCGCACGTTCTATCAGATAATAGCTTTTTAAGTGATGCTGTTTAAGTCTCCGTCAGTACTATGATTCCAGAACTCCACAAACCTGAATGTTTCTCTGCAGACCTAGTTGCTCCAGGGGAAAACAAAAATGCACCAGAAGATGTCAAATGGAAACCTTTTAGCCAAAGAACAATCTATTTGGCCTGGGTTTTGAGGTGATCATTTCCAATGTAATGGATTAAGAAGTAGCAACAGACTTTTCACCCACTGCTTCCCTGAGGCTAGAAACCTGGGAATTGTGTTCAGGGCTTTTGGCTCTAGGCCCTCGGTGTGTTTGCTGACCTGGTAAGCTGGGTGGCTGGTCAGTGCTGAGTTCACAAAATAACACAGGAGCAGCCACATAGAAGGTTAATGCCCCAATTAACCCTGGGAAGGGTACCGATGTTAAGGAAATGCAGACAAAAGACAGGAGGGAATGAAAATGTAGTCAATTGTCCAAGGTGAGGGGTCACCATAAAATATCTAAATGAAGGTCATTTGGACACAAACCATTCTTTCTCTTGCAAAATGTCACAAGCAGTGTTAAAAATTCTAGGGGATATATTTTCCTCTTATATTAAACCATCCTTTGTCCTTTGGATTAAATAGCATGAATACAGAGGGCAAATTACTTTTAAAAATTCAGTTTATTTCATCTAAAACCTTATTCTTTATAGTTTTTTAAATAAATTTTAAAGTAGTCTCAAATACTAGCAGGGTCTCCACACACGTATGTCTCAGGATTCCCGGTTTTCAGCTACTAGGAGCACAACTGTATCACAACTGGAAATGAGTTCGTCAGTCTATCATTTTATGATACATTGTGGATTCTTCTTTGTTATCATTCCTCAGAAGGATTTCTAGCAGTTTCCTGTATGCCATCCTCAGTCTGGGACTCCTCGGAAGCCCCATTCTTATATCACAAGCCTTTCCTAAACCGCCGTGCACCTTCAAGCCTGACATGATGTATTTCCCACATTCCTTGACTTCCTTTCAGATCTTATTTGGTAAGATCTTTGCTTGCTTATTTTCCCCTTTCATCTTCCTCCTCTCTGATGATTGTGTTTTTTCCCTGCATTAGCCAATATGCCATATATGGCAACATTACAGAGAAATTCACCTGTTCATAAAAATTTAGCCTTAATCAAAAAAGAGGGCTTCAATTATAGCCGGGCAAAACAATGAAAGACTTCATCTCTGACTTCAGAAAAGCATCAAAATTAAAGTGTGAAAAAAACTGATCTTCTGTGTATGTGCCCCATACATAGTTGTTGAATAAACTCAAAAGGTTACAAATTTTTTTCTAATAAGTAACACTTGTTAAATGTAGTAAGTTTCTTTGCTGGTCAGAAACTTGCATTTTGTATGGCCATCTTTCAAATTGTGTTAGCATATCTCTAGGTTTTAGCCCTAATAAATTTTTGTATTTGGGTAAGACAAACTGGCAATTTTCAGACTGGATGACTTATTTTTACATTTATTGGTGTGTTTTTACACACACAGGCTCACACACACATATCCTAAAATAAGCTAAAGTGAAAATGCTTTAATTTCCTTCATGCATGAATGGTTGTACAAATCATCTATGGCCTTAACCTGTTCTCACACAAATAAGCAAAGTACGTATACATACACTCCAAAATAATCATTGCCTTACTCTAGTGAATATTTTTTTAAGAATGAGTGTTATTTACTGTCGGGAAATGAAACAAACTTCAGCCATAAACAATATAACATCATGTTGACTGCTGAAATCTCATAAATATGTAATTTTCTACATTTTTAACACTGTCCTATGCTATTTTTTCTAGTTATAAATAAGACTTTTACTGAATGGTACTTTTCAAAGAACAGGGAAAGCCACCAAATTGGATGTAAGTGAAAGGTTTAGTGAAAAGACAGACAGGAAGGGAGCAAGGGAGGGAGGAAGAAAAGAAGAAACCCCTTTGTTTTTTCCAGAGATACCAATATTAGCAAGGTAGGAAAATATAAGCTTATTTTTCATTACATAGAAGCAGCAAGGAAAGCTACACATTTCATTAAGTTAACCACCAAGGACTCAGAAAAATAAAGGAGGCAATGTTGGGCCAAGAAATACAAGTGGTGACATTGTTTTGGTTAAGGAATTTATGAAACCAGAATACTTCAAAATTCCTTGACGTTCGCTCTGTCACAAATCCCAAATACTTAGACTTCTGAAATTCATCTCTTCTTTCTTAATACTCCAGTAGCCATACTGAGTAGTATAAAATGATCAAAGATTTTTTTAGTACTCATAATTCTTGGAAAGCTGATATAAATTATCAAACAAAAAATATGGTACACAGTTCTTGAATGATGGCAAATTGCTTTATAGGGACTAGCAGGTGCCTTCAGACCCAAGCACATAACGATATAGTATGCTGCTCGCTATCCTTATTTTTAGTAGATATTCCCTTGTCTCAGAAGCCCTCGATTCAACATTTCATTATGAAGCAAGGCTGGAGTGGAATTTAATTTTCTCATTGTCACAAATGATAAAAGTTCTAATAATATGTTGAAAAAGTTATGTATTCAAAATGGGTTTGAGCTGGGATTTCTGAAAAATGCTATCTGTGAAGGTCTTCTTTTGGAGTGTAGCCTTCTGCCATACCAAAGTTAAACATGCATTCAAATCATCAACAAATGAAAACAAATGCCCAGGTTTTGTTTCTGCTTGAAGTGGAGGGAAGCAAAGTGCGTGGTAGAATATGTTGTTTGAGTTACAAATTACACTAAGTGGGTAGATAGGCCTTGGGATATTTTCCAGATATAAAACTAAGTCCATATATTTTGCTAAAGTGTTTTTAAAGCCCCTTTAACTTCAAAGTAAATATCCAAAGATAATGATGTCTTCTGTCAACTAATGCTTCTTTTACATTTCTCTAGTAGCCAGAGACACTGTTCAATTTATCTCTCCACGCAGTTTGAGAGTGGTGGCCCACATTCCAGCAGTAAGTATTAGGGAAGAAAGGGCTAAATGAATCCAGGACCACTCTGAAGGAAGATGGCATTTACCATATATTACCTATGCATGTTTTCTCATCTGCATCAAGCTGGTATCCATGGTTACAGGAACAACGGGGCCCACCAAGTGCATGTTCACAGTGATGAGAACAACCACCATTGTTCTTTTCACAGCTATTGACAATTTCCAATTCAATCCCTTTCCAAACAAGCAGAAGAAGGTTATTAGCATAACAATAGAGAAACGTGAATATACGTCAACAACAGGTACACTCTGTTGGGAAAGCTATGACAAATTTCATTGAAAATTTATCAACACTCTCAACATATGAAAGTAAAAATGTGAGGGCTATTAAGCATTGCAAATGTCCATATGATATCAAAATACTAATAAAACTATAAATAATGTTAATTGACAAAGTGATATAGAAAGGTAAATAATTCACCCATGGTTATTAAACACTTATCTTAAAGGACATTTACCTCTGGGAATTCTCAATATTTTCAGGATATAAAAAATATGTGTATTGAATCCATAATCAGAAAGCAAATAGGTTGTTTGCCAGCTGACATTTCTGTTCTCAGGCTAATGGTATGTTATTATCTGTACTTTTTAGAGGCTAGGAGCACATGAAAATACTTTTAAAAATAGCCTTGGAACAAAAGTATGAACACAAAACCAATGAATTAGCTGATCACATTTAACGAGTATCATGTTAATGTGCTAATTAGCTTTGAGGTATATGAAACTCACTTATACAAACATACTATTATTCTGACAACCAATTTGCTGATCCCAGTGCATACTAATTTGCTGATCCCGGTGCATACTAATTTGGGTATTTTGGGTGACATCAGCCTCACCATATATATGCCAATTGTACTGAGCACATAGGCATTATAATCAATCATTTTCTAAGGGAGAAAATGAGAAATTTAATAATGTTTTGAATCAGTGTTAAAAGTATGGAATTTAGGTACTCTGCTATTGTTACCATTGGCCTCTAGTGTTCTTCAGTTGTGTTGCTTGAACAGCTTCTTATTAATAAGAGTGTCTATACTGGGTCATTTCTTCCGTTCTTAACACCAGAATCTTTTCACATAAATAAGATGAGAATGAACAGGGCAAGGGTAGTGGGGTTGTGGTACTCCTTGAAAGTCTGTGTCACCATTGAAGCTGCCTGGGAATCTGCTATAGTTTCTGTCCAGTTGCAGCACAGAAATGACCCCCACTCTTCCTGGCCCCCAGGCAACAGCAGGCAGGGGGCCGTGTGTCCCAGAGCACCTGGTGCGCACGCCTGTCATTGCACGTCTCCCTCTGTGCCATCATCATCCTCTGTCACCAAGTTGAGGACAGATGTTCAAAAACACGTTTTGAATAATTGAACAAACAAAAGAAGGATTATGCTAATCAATTTATTGTTGAAAATAAGAAGCCCTTTGGGTTGAGAAACAACTATTGTAGATCAGAAAAATTAGAAAATTAAAGAAAAGATAGAAATAATGCAAGGAAATGATATTTCTGTGGTATGTTAACTTGTACTCTTTATGGAGACGTTTTTCAAAATTTGGCTCTTATTCTTATTATTTTTCTGTGGTCAATGCAGCTCAAAGACTTCTGGTAGTAACTGACTTTAAATGTAAGTAATATTATTGTAACATCATTAAAAATATAGGAGACTCAAACAAGGGTATGCTCAGATCTATACTGCCCATTAGAAGTAAGTTAAGATTTTGCATGTTTGATACAGATGATGATGTATAACCATATATTTAAAAAATTATACTTTGAAAACTTTTTAAAATGACCCCTGTAGTTTCTTATAGGCAGCAAATAATTTTTATTAGTTATATATGTATATAGGCATTAAATACATATGGAATTAAAGTTCAATTATATATTGCTTAGGAATTTGGGGAAAATCTTATTTAACCATGCTAAATCTGGAATTTTCTAATTTCTAATCACAAGATAGTGATAGTTCTTTCACAACACACTGGAGGGATTTGATGTTTTAAGCCCCTGCGAAGAGACTATATAAATATAAAATACTGTTTTCTTAGGAAAGTGTTAAAACAATATTTTCCTAAAATATGCATTGCTATATAATGGACACATAATCCATTGTTAAACATCACCAGGCTCTGAAAGCATTTACAGATTTTGAAACAACTCAAAATACCAGTTTTTATCAAAAAAGTTTTATATATCAATAAATATTGAAGTCTGGTGAAAGCTGCACAAAGAATTTGGCTAGGCAAATATTCACATAAGGGGAATAAATGTAAAAATATTCTTCTACTAAATGTATTCAACTCTAGGGAACACTCCCTTCCCAAGTAAATTCTATAGAAAGCCTGTGCCTCATAACTCATTAATAATGGCCTCCTCTTTCATGATAACTGAGAATTCACCAGTCAGATTACAAGAGATTTTATTTCACACATTTGTAAAATGCTCTTATGCCTCTGGCCACATTAAAAAGCCAAAATATTAATATATTAATAAGAAGGAAAAACTCATCTGTATCTCTTTCTGCCTCAGGGCATTAAGAGAAAGGCTCACTACAGAAGTTGTATCTTTAGTAGTTAATTCTTCTCTCCCTTTTTATTTAGTTTGCTTTTTAAAAGGCAGGTATTACTGTAGCAAAACTACACTGTCTTTAAGCAGTAGAAACATACCAACAGACTTTAAGACTTTACTGACAACCCAGGCATTACAGAAACATAGAATTTTATGCAGTGGAGAAGAATGAAGAATTTAGTGACTCTAAGAATGTCTCTTCATGATTGAGCTAAAGTAATAACACAAAGTAAGTGATAAGTATTATTCTACTTATCACTATCTTTATTCTTCTTCATTAATTAAAACTGATAATACATAATGTGTAAACATACATGATGAAGTTTAAAGGCCAGTGTATTTGGAACCTACAGACTCTAGTTCAAATCCCTGTCTGTCACTTATTAATTTTGTATCATTGGGCTTTTGGCTTCAAGGATAAACTGATAGTTTACTGAGATGTGGAGAACTGGGAACAACATCTTTGGAACTGACACTGGAAATCAGCAATTTGCTTGGGGCCTATCAAGTTTGCAATGCTTGTTAGTCAAGCAAACTGAGAGGACACAGTTGGAATACATAGTTCAATACATGCATATATACACATATGGTTCAAGGAGAAAGTGGAAATATAAATTTGACATTGAGAGAGGGGCCAAAGATGGAGAGAAAAACATGGAAAGTGTAAAAACATGGAAGAAAAGAAAGTATTTCAAGAATAACGGGGATTATTCAACTGTATTGAAAGATGCTGAGAGGTCAAGTAGGGTAAAATTGGAGAAGTTAGCAGGCAGTCTGGTCACATGGAGTTCCTAGGTGACTCTGCAGAGGTAGAGGTGATCACCTAGTTAGTCTGGGATGACGAGAGAATGCAAGGTGGGGAGAAGACCCTGACAGAGTTATAAAATGATTGCTGTAAAGATGATCAGATTAAAGCTCCAGTGGCATGTAGCTTACCAGAGGGTACTTCAAAGATTGGAGATACTGGACCATGTTGATACACTGCTGAGAATGACCCACTAGACAATTGCTAAGAGCAAACACCTTCAGATAATGAGAGAGAATGGGATTCAAGGTACCGTGGAGAAGACAGTATTAGACAGCAATAACACTTCCATCACATTAATAGGGTGAAGTCTTTTCCAAATAACTCTATGAGCTATTTCAGATCAGCTGCTAGCTTGAATGGTGGTTTGCATTCATTATATTGCTGACATAAGAGACAAGGTAAGGATTAAGGTAAAAGGGGAGTGATATAAAGATTTAGAAGAGAAAGAACACATTTAACATTTCAATGAGGATGAAAGTGGACGTGTTCTCTTAGCATAGCTTTGAGAAGTCGTATTTGCTTACTCATTTGAGATTTACGGATTTAAAATAACACCAGTCAACATGGTTGCATTTTAAACCTAGAAAACTCACCTGCTAAGGTATAGCTATGAAGTGGAGAAGGAAGGGAAGAAGTCACTGAGAAAAAGGTAAAGTCTGAAGATGAGGAAGGAAAATGAATTATCGATATACCATGATCACATAAGAGGCAAAGATAAAGAAACCATCCAAAGAAATAGGAAAAAATATTCTGCCATTTGAAAAAGGAAGGAAGAAGTAGAGGGTGGGTGCAGATGGGGAATACTGAGGTGGAGAACGTGGAACAGGAAGGAATCTGTAGCAGATGGTTTTAAGCTTCAATAAGTAGGAAGTGTGTTCATCTACAGATGACCAGCAGACCAGCGGGGAAGACATGAGAGAAGGAAATAGCTGCAATAGCTATCAGCAGCAGCTAATAACTCAGCATATTAACCTTGTGATATGTTCATAATAAGGGATATATTACATTGTATAACAGCCTAGGGGAGGAAGAAGTTAAGGTTAGATGGCATGCATCACAGGAGCAGAGGGATGAGTCTGTGAAAGAGAATGAGAAGTTGGAAGGTGATGTTTAAAGAGGAGAATCGAAAGGAATGAAAATGGGGGTGGAGGAGAAGAAAAGAGCAGACATGAAACGTACTCTTTAGAGCGAACAGTGGGTCCATCATTTTGCTATAATCTGGAGCTCTTCTTGTACTGCTGCTTCCTTCTGTCCTGCTAGCTCTTTTTCCTTGAGTTTTACATTGACTAGTGTTTGCTAAACGTTGCATGGCAGAGGTGATGAAGGAAGGCAGAGTCTCTGCAAGGACAGCCATGGCTCCAAGAAAGCCCCAAGTCAGAAGACCTGAGACTGAGTCCTCACTGGCTACACTGGGGATCATTATGCCGAGCACTTGCTATCGACTCTGGGCCCATTTCTTTAAATTAAAAGGAAGGGGTTGAACTTCTAAGCTCTCAGCCCTACCCCACCCTTGTGGAAAACAGTCTCAGGAGCTTGGCTTTGACAAAATATTCAGTGTCGTTCTTTTATTACTCTTGTTTAATACTTGCCAAATGCCACACATTTCCAAGGCTGCGATTTGCTGCCACTTACTGTAACACTGTGTCCTGTCAGCTCCCAGCTGGAAGCCAGGGTGGCAGGCGCAGGTGAAAGATCCCACTGTGTTAACACAGCGATGGCTGCAGTGAGCCCGCCCTCCAGCACACTCGTTCACGTCTGCAGAGACAGAGACACAGTGGCTGCCTTTGGAGGCTGAATTTGTGTATAAACTATAAAAATGAACTTAAGTATTCCTTCCCCGGCAAACCTCAAAATGAAGTGCATCAGAAAAATACCACATATCCTGGACCTATGATTGTCACCGGGCCATGCTATTTAAACTGTCATGCTCTCTCTTTCTCCTGACACCAGTAGCCATGTGTAGTCAGTGTCACTTCATTTTCTGGCCCCGGTAGTCCACGCTCCTTCCCTCTAAATGGATAGGTCTCACCATCATTTTCCTACCAGAACTTCCTCCTCGTGCTGCCCTGCATGTCATCCTCACCAGGGAACTTCAGAGAAATACTCACTCTTGTACACCCTTGTAACATATTTGTAAAACCCTAGGCAGTAATTGGGGGATAGACTCTTCAGGAAGAATGGTATTAAGTAAAACTTTGAAAGAGATTATATATGGATAAATACAGGTATATGCATATACTTATATATGTGCATATTTGCCAGTTCCCCGCACATCTAACTAGGGCCTGGTCTGTGGCAGGTGCTGAGCTAGGCATGTGCTTTGTGAACAGAGGACCAAAGCAGAAACAATTTCTGTCAGAAAAGTGGGTTCACACAGTCCACAGAAAATTTTACCATGGTTTTGACTTAAAGGAAAATAAAAACTAACAACACCAGTTTTTATGTTAATTGTTTTTCATTTTCTCAGTGTTTTTCAGTCCCATAAGTCAGGAATATTTTGGTATTTTCATAATCAATCCAAATATACTATTTCTCACATCATGATAAAATGAAAGATTCTGTGATTCCTCAGAAGTTATTAAAACAATGACTGTCTCACAAGAATGACTTCATTTATCAATTCTGGACATGAAGTAATTTATCACTTATCTTTCAATTGAAGTATGTCTGTTTTGTTATTTCTAGGAAACAGAAATATGCAGTCTTGTATTTCTAGAGGCCCTCCCTCCCTCTTCCTTCCTTCCCTGCCCTTTTCTTTCTTCCTTTTGTCCTTCCTTCCTTCCTTCCTTCCAATTATCCCTATTACTAATAACACTCATTAGTGCTATTTGCTTTTCAAAGGTTACCTGTACCTTTTGTAGCTTATAATAAAACAAAACAAATAAACAAACAAACAAAAAACCCTCCCTGTGTGGTTATGTAAGGCTTTGAAAACTCAATTCTGGAATTCACTTCAGAATGAGAAACAGAAAACAAAAAGCATTAATTCTGAAACTATACCAGCCCCGGCCCCCCTTTTTTTTGTAATTAAAACTTTCACTGAGTTTTTATAGTGTCATAGAGTAACTTTCAGAATGATCAAATAACAGTATAAATGTTCCATTTTAAGCATAAAAACAAAAACACCTTTCTCCTAGCTGTCCTGACTATTCAAACTGAATTACCACCAAATTTCGTACAATTACACAATTAAGCTATCAGACTCAAGTTCCTACCTCCGCAGGCCTTTTTGTCTTCAGACAGCTGGTAGCCTGGGTGACAGGCACACTTGGCCACTCCGTTCTCACTCTGACAGATGTGGGCACATCCATTTCCACCTGTGCAGGGGTCCATCTCTAAAAGCAATTAAGCAGTGATAGTTTGCAATTAATTAACTTTGGAAAGATATACAGAGTGGAAGGCTGGAGGAAGGTAAGAAAGGAACTGGGGCTCTGGGTTTCTCACATAAAGACATTGAGGACTCTTGAAAATTCTTTCCCACTTTCAGATGGAATTAATTCATCAAAACATATCCCATTGTGTAACTTGAACTCCAAAGTCTGAACAAATCTAAACGTGGATCAAGGCCAAAGAAGAAGTAGCTTGATTTCACTTTTCCCAAAAGTATATTCGCTGCCCAAAGTTAGTCAGCAGAAACTCTGCCATACACCTTTGTTTTTTTCCCTCTTTCCCTCACCATCTTTTCTACAACATTGAACAGCAGAGTCATCCTCAGGCCACTGTTTTTTACCTCCTCCAGATCTCCTCTGCCTCACTGTGTTAGTACAGGACCAGCTGGAGAGACATGGGAGAGTCTTAGCTACAGCTGCTCTGGAAAGGAAATGAAGTTCAGCTGGCCTTCTTCTCCCTCTCACTTGCTTGTGTCTTAGTATTGGTTACAGTCTCTGGAAGTCCAGAGTAATGTGAAGCCACATGTCCCGTCAGGAGTATCTCCACACAGAGCTTGCTGAATTCATGAGTTAAGTGACTCTGGTCAGACTCTATGAAGCCAGCCTTGTCTACATTCTACACTGCCGGGGTACGAATGCAGAATTTCTACTCCTATCTTACCCCGTACTTTAAAAAAAATGCACAGAACACAAAGAGCAAGACAATATATAAAGCTATCTTGTCCCCACATTCTCCCACTTTTAACCCAACTGCCACCATGCATAAATGCTTTTATGCTTTCATCAGTTTCATATTAACCTTTCCAGCCTATGAAAATATGTTATCTATCTATCTATCTATCTATCTAATCATTTATCTCAGATGCAATAGGTGCTGTTTCACCCCTTACTTTTATGGTAGGGAGAGACTGAGTTGAATTTGTAGACTAGTTTGGGGAAGTATTACCATTTGAAAAATATGAAGTTGTTTGATCCTTGAGCATGAAATGTCTTTCCATTTATTTCAGGTCTTTAATTTCAATAATGTTTTACAGTTTTCAGTACCTAATTTTTGCTTTGTTTTATTAAATTTGTTCATATGTGGTTTTTAATAGTTTTTTGATATTATTATAAATAGAATTGTTTCTTAATTTTATTTTCAGATTGTTCCTTGCTGGTATATAGAAATCCACTTGATTTTTATGTGTTGATCTTATTTCCTGAAACTTTGTTGAGTTTTTCTTAATCATTCTAACATTTTTTTGTGAGTGGATTCTCTAAGATTTTCTACATACAAGCTTATGTCATCTCCAAATAGAAATAATTTAATTTCTCCGTTCTATTTTTGGTGATTTTTATGTTATTTTCTTGCTTGTTTTGCTCAGGCTAGAACTTCCAGTACAGCATTGAAGTGGCATGGACAGATGTCCTCGTCTTTGCTCCTTGTCTTTGTTCAACTAATCGGACTGAGTAAGTTCTCTTCTATTTCTAGTTTGTTGAGTTACTTTCCTCATGGAAGGGTTTTGATTTTGTCAAACATTTTTTTTTGCATCTATTGAGATGATAACATGGATTTGTCCTTTATTATGTTGATACAATATATTACATTCATTGATTTTCAGATGTTGAACCAACCTTGTTTTCCTGAGATACATCCTATTTGATCACAGTGTGTATTCCCTACTATACATTGTTGGATGTGGTTTCCTACTTTTGTGTTGAGGACTTTTATATTTTATTCATATTCATATTCATATCGGTCTATAGGTTTCTAGCTTGCAAAATCCTTGTCTGTTTTTGGTATCAGGGTGATAATGACTTCAAGGAATGAGTTAGGAAGTGTCCTCTCTCTTAACTTTGAGAGAATTTGTGAAAAATTTACATTAATTCTTCTTAAACTACTGTATTTTGCCATGTGTAATGTTCTACTGTGTATAGTGCACACCCACGTTTTTGGCCCAAACTTTCAGGAAAAAAAATCTTTCATTTTAATTTTTTAACTCATTTATTTATTTATATTTAGAAACAAAACCAATGATCATATTCCAGGGTATTATTTTGCATATGGATATCTGTATTGTTTTCTAGAGTTACACTTTTAATGCAGAAGCATAAATAAAAGAATTAAAAACATTTATGTAGATACAGAATTAGTACTATCCATGTATAATGCACATCTTCATTTTTCCCTCAAAAATTTGGGCAAAAATTGCACATTATACATAGCAAAATATGGTATTTGGTATAATTCATCATTGAAATCATCTGATCCTGAGGTTTCCTTAGTGGGAAATTTTAAAATTACTAATTTTCTTTGCTTATTATATGTCCAACCAGATTTTATATTTCTCTAGAGGTCTCTTTCAGTAGTTCTCATCATTCAAAAATGTATTTAAAATATATATGTGTAGATTAAAGCAAACATAGTAAAATTATATTATTGTATTTGTTATATATGACAATAGCATGGAACAATGAAATATTAAGAAATTAAAGTATATTGTTATAATATTCTAACATTATAAATAAGTATCATTTTGCAGGAAAACTGTGATAAGTTAATGATACATATTGTAAATCCCAGAATAACATTTATTTATTTATTTATTTATTTATTTATTTATTCATTCATTCATTCATTTCCACCCCACCCCCCACCATAGTCACCATACCGTTGTCCCTGCCCATGTATCTTCTTTCTTTTTTTGCTCAATCTCTCCATCACCCAACCCTGGGTCTCCAAACTGTCATCTGCTTTCTATCTATGAGCCTGTGTGTATTTTGTTAGTTTAGTTTGTTCATTGTATGAGTGAAATCACATGATACTTGTCTTTCTCGGACTGGCTTATTTCCACTCAGCATAATATTCTCTAGATTCATTCATGCTGTCACAATCTCAGAAACAGAATCAAACATAAAAATAATGAATTAATTAATGAAAGAGAAGGCACAAAAGAAGAAAAAGAAACAAAGTATAGATTAGATAAATAGAAAATAAACATTCTCTAGATTTAAACCCTATAGAAAAATACATTAACTATAAATGTAAACTACTCATAATAAAAGGTAGGGGGTTTTAGACTTGAAAAAAAGCAAGACTAAATATAGGCTATCTACAGTAAACTCACTTTATGCAAAAAGAATAAAATATATTTTAAAATATACCATTTTTTTTAAAGAATGAAAAGGATATACTATAATAGCCACAAGCCAAAATATCTGAAGGGATTATGTTAATTTGACACAAAATAGATTTTAGGCAAAGTTGATTAGTATGAACAGGGGCATTTCATATTAATATAGGAATAAATTTCTCAAGAAAACACAGTGGCATTCTAAGTGTGTATGTACTAAATAACAGAGCTTCAAAATACATGAAGCATAAATTGATATAACCCAGCAAAGTAGACAAGCCCATACAAATAGTTGTATATTTCAATATCTACTACCAATAATTCATAAGACAATCAACAAGATAGACTTATACAACTATAATGGCAATAATGACTCAAACAACTATCAAATGACTTAAATTAAGTGACATTTATAATGACTTCAGTCAGTAATTGCAGAATATACATTTTTCAAAAACATTTTACAAGATAGACCATATTGTGAGCTAAAACCCAAGTCTCAGTGAATGTGAAGTGATTATAGACATAAAGAGTATATTTTCTGATCAAAATGGAAGTAACTCAGAATACAAAATGGCATTTAGAATTTACTCAAATATTTAGAAATTTAACAATGCAATTCTGATATCCATGACTAAAGGAATAAATCCCAAGGGAATTAGAAAGTGTTTTAAATTGAATGAAAACATTATTAATATGCATAGGGAAAAACTAAAGCAGTATTTAGAGAAATGTATAATTCAAGTGCTTATGTCAGAAAAGTGGTAGGGTATAAAGTTTAGAAACTAAAAACAAAGACCAGTTCAACTCAAAACAAATAAAGAGAAAAATAATAAAGATAAGATTGTAATCAGTGAAACAAATAAAACAATAGAGACAATCAATGTGAGAGGTTAGTTTTTGATAAGACCAATGGAATTGACCAACTTTTAGCTAACCCGAGTGAGACTAAAAGCAGGGCACACATTAATAAGGATATACTATGAATAATTTTTACAAGTATATTTGATAGTTTATATGAAATAGACAAACACCTTACAAGGCACAATATATTACAATGTATTAAGCAGACTCAAGAAATAATGCAAAGCCTAATTAGCCTTATATTAATTTTTAAAATGAGTTAATAAATAAAAATTTGTCCTCAAATAAAGTGCTAGGGCAAGATAGCTTTACTGGTGAATTATCTCAAACATTCAAGTAAGGAATTGTACCAATTGTACACAAACTCTTGCAGAAAACAGAAAGGAGAGAATGCTTCCAATTCACTTTACTGAGCAAACATTACTCTGTACCAAAACTAGAAGAAACATTACAAAAAAGAAACCATAGAAAAATAACACTAATTAACCTAGATGTAGAAATCCCATATAACCTCTTGACTGACAATGCCAAGTTTTGACAAGAATAGAGCCCAAGGAACTCACATACATTGGGTGGAAACATAAAGTTAAATAATTCTGGAAGACAACTGGGCAGTATTTTATAAGGTTAAATATGCATTTACCATATGAGCCAACCATTCTACTCTTAGGTATTTACTTAGTAATAAAATATTATTCAGTAATAAATAGGAATGTGCTACTAATACAAGCAAAAACATGAATTTCACAAACCTTTTGTTGAGTGAAAGAATACAGACATAAATGATTACATACTAAATTATTCTTTTTATATGACACCTTACAGAACACAAAAATAATATACAGTGACAGAAAACAGATCACTGATTGTTACAATTGAGGTTAAAGTAATTGTCCTGGAAAGAAAATAAGAGAAACATTTAGGGTGATACAAATATTCACATCTTTATTGTTGTAATAGTTGTATGGT